TGGCTGCTTGCTTGTTGCCTGATGGAGGCAAGTGTGAATGTTGTCACTGGTCACCTTGATGAGCATTGAATAGCCTTGCAGCTTCAAGGCCTGGCTGCTTGCTTGTTGCCTGATGGAGGCAAGTGTGAATGTTGCCATTGGTCACCTTGATGAGCATTGAATAGCCTTGCAGCTTCAAGGCCTGGCTGCTTGCTTGTTGCCTGATGGAGGCAAGTGTGAATGTTGCCATTGGTCATCTTGATGAGCATTGAATAGCCTTACAGCTTCAAGGCCTGGCTGCTTGCTTGTTGCCTGATGGAGGCAAGTGTGAATGTTGTCACTGGTCATCTTGATGAGCATTGAATAGCCTTACAGCTTCAAGGCCTGGCTGCTTGCTTGTTGCCTGATGGAGGCAAGTGTGAATGTTGTCATTGGTCACCTTGATGAGCATTGAATAGCCTTGCAGCTTCAAGGCCTGGCTGCTTGCTTGTTGCCTGATGGAGGCAAGTGTGAATGTTGCCATTGGTCATCTTGATGAGCATTGAATAGCCTTACAGCTTCAAGGCCTGGCTGCTTGCTTGTTGCCTGATGGAGGCAAGTGTGAATGTTGCCATTGGTCATCTTGATGAGCATTGAATAGCCTTACAGCTTCAAGGCCTGGCTGCTTGCTTGTTGCCTGATGGAGGCAAGTGTGAATGTTGCCATTGGTCATCTTGATGAGCATTGAATAGCCTTACAGCTTCAAGGCCTGGCTGCTTGCTTGTTGCCTGATGGAGGCAAGTGTGAATGTTGTCACTGGTCACCTTGATGAGCATTGAATAGCCTTGCAGCTTCAAGGCCTGGCTGCTTGCTTGTTGCCTGATGGAGGCAAGTGTGAATGTTGCCATTGGTCATCTTGATGAGCATTGAATAGCCTTACAGCTTCAAGGCCTGGCTGCTTGCTTGTTGCCTGATGGAGGCAAGTGTGAATGTTGTCACTGGTCACCTTGATGAGCATTGAATAGCCTTACAGCTTCAAGGCCTGGCTGCTTGCTTGTTGCCTGATGGAGGTAAGTGTGAATGTTGTCATTGGTCACCTTGATGAGCATTGAATAGCCTTGCAGCTTCAAGGCCTGGCTGCTTGCTTGTTGCCTTATGGAGGCAAGTGTGAATGTTGCCATTGGTCATCTTGATGAGCATTGAATAGCCTTGCAGCTTCAAGGCCTGGCTGCTTGCTTGTTGCCTTATGGAGGCAAGTGTGAATGTTGCCATTGGTCACCTTGATGAGCATTGAATAGCCTTGCAGCTTCAAGGCCTGGCTGCTTGCTTGTTGCCTGATGGAGGTAAGTGTGAATGTTGTCATTGGTCACCTTGATGAGCATTGAATAGCCTTACAGCTTCAAGGCCTGGCTGCTTGCTTGTTGCCTGATGGAGGCAAGTGTGAATGTTGTCATTGGTCACCTTGATGAGCATTGAATAGCCTTGCAGCTTCAAGGCCTGGCTGCTTGCTTGTTGCCTGATGGAGGTAAGTGTGAATGTTGTCATTGGTCACCTTGATGAGCATTGAATAGCCTTACAGCTTCAAGGCCTGGCTGCTTGCTTGTTGCCTGATGGAGGTAAGTGTGAATGTTGTCATTGGTCACCTTGATGAGCATTGAATAGCCTTACAGCTTCAAGGCCTGGCTGCTTGCTTGTTGCCTGATGGAGGTAAGTGTGAATGTTGTCATTGGTCACCTTGATGAGCATTGAATAGCCTTGCAGCTTCAAGGCCTGGCTGCTTGCTTGTTGCCTGATGGAGGCAAGTGTGAATGTTGCCATTGGTCACCTTGATGAGCATTGAATAGCCTTACAGCTTCAAGGCCTGGCTGCTTGCTTGTTGCCTGATGGAGGCAAGTGTGAATGTTGCCATTGGTCATCTTGATGAGCATTGAATAGCCTTACAGCTTCAAGGCCTGGCTGCTTTCTTGTTGCCTGATGGAGGCAAGTGTGAATGTTGTCATTGGTCATCTTGATGAGCATTGAATAGCCTTACAGCTTCAAGGCCTGGCTGCTTGCTTGTTGCCTGATGGAGGCAAGTGTGAATGTTGTCATTGGTCATCTTGATGAGCATTGAATAGCCTTACAGCTTCAAGGCCTGGCTGCTTGCTTGTTGCCTGATGGAGGCAAGTGTGAATGTTGTCACTGGTCACCTTGATGAGCATTGAATAGCCTTACAGCTTCAAGGCCTGGCTGCTTGCTTGTTGCCTGATGGAGGCAAGTGTGAATGTTGTCCATTGGTCATCTTGATGAGCATTGAATAGCCTTACAGCTTCAAGGCCTGGCTGCTTGCTTGTTGCCTGATGGAGGCAAGTGTGAATGTTGCCATTGGTCATCTTGATGAGCATTGAATACCCTTACAGCTTCAAGGCCTGGCTGCTTGCTTGTTGCCTGATGGAGGCAAGTGTGAATGTTGTCACTGGTCACCTTGATGAGCATTGAATAGCCTTACAGCTTCAAGGCCTGGCTGCTTGCTTGTTGCCTGATGGAGGCAAGTGTGAATGTTGCCATTGGTCATCTTGATGAGCATTGAATAGCCTTACAGCTTCAAGGCCTGGCTGCTTGCTTGTTGCCTGATGGAGGCAAGTGTGAATGTTGTCACTGGTCACCTTGATGAGCATTGAATAGCCTTACAGCTTCAAGGCCTGGCTGCTTGCTTGTTGCCTGATGGAGGTAAGTGTGAATGTTGTCATTGGTCATCTTGATGAGCATTGAATAGCCTTACAGCTTCAAGGCCTGGCTGCTTGCTTGTTGCCTGATGGAGGCAAGTGTGAATGTTGTCACTGGTCATCTTGATGAGCATTGAATAGCCTTGCAGCTTCAAGGCCTGGCTGCTTGCTTGTTGCCTGATGGAGGCAAGTGTGAATGTTGTCACTGGTCATCTTGATGAGCATTGAATAGCCTTACAGCTTCAAGGCCTGGCTGCTTGCTTGTTGCCTGATGGAGGCAAGTGTGAATGTTGTCACTGGTCACCTTGATGAGCATTGAATAGCCTTACAGCTTCAAGGCCTGGCTGCTTGCTTGTTGCCTGATGGAGGCAAGTGTGAATGTTGTCACTGGTCATCTTGATGAGCATTGAATAGCCTTACAGCTTCAAGGCCTGGCTGCTTGCTTGTTGCCTGATGGAGGCAAGTGTGAATGTTGTCACTGGTCATCTTGATGAGCATTGAATAGCCTTACAGCTTCAAGGCCTGGCTGCTTGCTTGTTGCCTGATGGAGGCAAGTGTGAATGTTGTCACTGGTCATCTTGATGAGCATTGAATAGCCTTACAGCTTCAAGGCCTGGCTGCTTGCTTGTTGCCTGATGGAGGCAAGTGTGAATGTTGTCCATTGGTCATCTTGATGAGCATTGAATAGCCTTACAGCTTCAAGGCCTGGCTGCTTGCTTGTTGCCTGATGGAGGCAAGTGTGAATGTTGTCACTGGTCACCTTGATGAGCATTGAATAGCCTTGCAGCTTCAAGGCCTGGCTGCTTGCTTGTTGCCTGATGGAGGCAAGTGTGAATGTTGTCATTGGTCATCTTGATGAGCATTGAATAGCCTTACAGCTTCAAGGCCTGGCTGCTTGCTTGTTGCCTGATGGAGGCAAGTGTGAATGTTGTCACTGGTCACCTTGATGAGCATTGAATAGCCTTACAGCTTCAAGGCCTGGCTGCTTGCTTGTTGCCTGATGGAGGCAAGTGTGAATGTTGTCACTGGTCATCTTGATGAGCATTGAATAGCCTTACAGCTTCAAGGCCTGGCTGCTTGCTTGTTGCCTGATGGAGGCAAGTGTGAATGTTGCCATTGGTCACCTTGATGAGCATTGAATAGCCTTGCAGCTTCAAGGCCTGGCTGCTTGCTTGTTGCCTTATGGAGGTAAGTGTGAATGTTGTCATTGGTCACCTTGATGAGCATTGAATAGCCTTGCAGCTTCAAGGCCTGGCTGCTTGCTTGTTGCCTTATGGAGGCAAGTGTGAATGTTGTCATTGGTCACCTTGATGAGCATTGAATAGCCTTGCAGCTTCAAGGCCTGGCTGCTTGCTTGTTGCCTTATGGAGGCAAGTGTGAATGTTGCCATTGGTCATCTTGATGAGCATTGAATAGCCTTGCAGCTTCAAGGCCTGGCTGCTTGCTTGTTGCCTTATGGAGGCAAGTGTGAATGTTGCCATTGGTCACCTTGATGAGCATTGAATAGCCTTACAGCTTCAAGGCCTGGCTGCTTGCTTGTTGCCTGATGGAGGCAAGTGTGAATGTTGTCATTGGCCACCTTGATGAGCATTGAATAGCCTTGCAGCTTCAAGGCCTGGCTGCTTGCTTGTTGCCTGATGGAGGTAAGTGTGAATGTTGTCATTGGTCACCTTGATGAGCATTGAATAGCCTTACAGCTTCAAGGCCTGGCTGCTTGCTTGTTGCCTGATGGAGGCAAGTGTGAATGTTGTCATTGGCCACCTTGATGAGCATTGAATAGCCTTGCAGCTTCAAGGCCTGGCTGCTTGCTTGTTGCCTTATGGAGGTAAGTGTGAATGTTGTCATTGGTCACCTTGATGAGCATTGAATAGCCTTGCAGCTTCAAGGCCTGGCTGCTTGCTTGTTGCCTTATGGAGGCAAGTGTGAATGTTGCCATTGGTCATCTTGATGAGCATTGAATAGCCTTGCAGCTTCAAGGCCTGGCTGCTTGCTTGTTGCCTTATGGAGGCAAGTGTGAATGTTGCCATTGGTCACCTTGATGAGCATTGAATAGCCTTACAGCTTCAAGGCCTGGCTGCTTGCTTGTTGCCTGATGGAGGCAAGTAGTTTAGGGAGGCAAAGAAGGGGAGAGAAGACAGGGTCCACGCTAGGCACAACGACCCGGTGAGGCAGGCTTGTCGAGGGAGGAGGAGGAGGGGGGGGGGGGAGGGGGGTGGGGGGGGGGGGGGCAAAACAAAAAAAAAAAAGGGAGGGGGAGGAAGAGGGGCGTGTCCGGCGGCGTTGATTGGACAGCCGGGGCGGGGAAGGCGGGGCCGGGCGTCGCACGTGGGGAGCGGCCCCTCCCGCGCTGGGAACGGAGTAAGGAAGGAAAGAGGGAAAGAAGGAAGGCAGAAAGGGAGGAAGGAGGGCCCGATCCCACCCCCGGGAGATCCCCGCCTCTGCAGAGAGCCGGAGGGAGTCCTTGCCTGCTTGCTTGCCCGTCGACCTGCCTGCCTGCCTGCCTCCCTCCCTCCCGCGGTGCCTGGGGGCTTTGGCAGCGCCTCGTCCTCCTCCTCCTCCTCCTCCTCTTCTTCCTCCTCCTCCTCCTCCTCCTCCCGCCCCGCCTTCCGGAGCCGAGCCCCGGCGGCTCATTGCGGAGCGTTGCAGCCTCCGCCGCTGCTGCCGCGATGGCGACCACCGTGACCTGCACCCGCTTCACCGACGAGTACCAGCTGTACGAGGAAATTGGCAAGTAAGGAGCGGAGCCAGAGAAGGAGGGAGGGAAGGAGGAGGAGGAAGGGGGCTTCCTCGGGGGAAGAAGAAGCAGAAGAAGAAGAAGTTGGGGCTTGGGGGCCTTTGCGCTGGGGTGGGAGACGGGGCCCCCATTGCGCTGCGCAGGCATGACGCACGTTGCAGAGCCGCGGATGGGGAGGGAGGAAGGGAAGGAAGGAAGGAAGGGAGGGAAAGGGAGGAGGAAGGAGAGGAAAGGAAAGGAGGAAGGGAAGGGAATGGGAGGTCAGGAGGAAGAGAAGAGGAGGAAAGGGAAGAAGAGATTGTGAAGGAAGAGGATAAGGACATGAAAGCAGAAGAGGAGGAGATGAAGAAGGGACAAGAGGAGGGAAGAGGAAGAAGTAATGGAAGAAGAGCTGAAGGAAGAAAAGGAGATGGAGAAGGAAGAGGAGGGGAGAAGGAGGAAGAAGGAAGGAAGGGAGAAGAAGAAGACAAGAGGAGAGGGGAATGGAAGGAAGGTGGAAAGGAGGAGGAGGGAGGGAAGAGGGAAAGGAGGAAGGAGAAAGAGGAAGAGAAGAGGAGGAGAAGGAAGGGGAGAAGAAGGGGAGGAGAAAGGGAAGAGGAGGAAGGGAAGGAAAGAAGGAAGAGAAGAGAAGGAAAGGAGGAAGGGAAGGGACCGGCCTTCTCTTCCTCCCTCCCTATTTCTCTTTCCCTCTCCTCCATCGGAGATTGATTTATGAAGCTCCTTCCTCCTCCTCTTCCTCCTCTGCAATCTCAGGGCGGCGGCACCCAAAGTGGGAGGAAGAGAGAGGGGCATGACATTCTCTTCCCCCTCTTTTTTTTGGGGGGGGGGGCACGACATGCCCTCCCCGCTTCCTTCCCTCGGCAAGCACAGCATCCTTGCGCAGACCTCTGTCTCTCTGTGCCTCTCTCTTTGAGGGGGGGTCTACTTGGCGGCACGTAGAAGGCAAGGGGGGGAGAAAGAGAGGGAAGGAAGGAAGGAGAGCGGTTGCGTAACGCTGGGGAGGGGTCGGGAGCCACGCGGCGATTGGTGCAGTGCTTCCTCTTGCCTTTTAAAGGAGAAGAGCCCCCCCCCCATCCTCCTCTCGCTCCTCCCGCCCTCCGTCGGGGGCTGTCTGCACATGCTCAGGGGCGCTCTTTCTCTCTCTCTTTCGACATGGTAGGTAGGAAGGAAACTGGGTTGCTGTGAGTTTTTTTGGGCTGTGTTGCCATGTCCCAGTAGCATTCTCTCCTGACATTTCGCCTATATCTTTGGCGCAACAAAAGAGGGTTGCGACTATTACTTGAGGAAAAATTGCCTTTGATTTTCTCATTTCTAAAGTGGCTAAGGGGGAAAAGGAAAGGACCTGAGGCCGTTAGGAATGGTGGGAGTTGAAGTCCAAAACACCTGGAGGGCCCAAGTTTGCCCATGCCCGGACTACTGGCATTTTCAGAGGTTCTGTTGTTAGTGAGGCAAGTGGACTATCTATCTATCAATCTATCTATCTATGGAATGTCCAGGGTGGGCGAAACAACTCTTGTCTGTGAGTGTTGCAATTGGCTACCTTGATTAGCGTTGAATGGCCTTGCAGCTTCAAAGCCTGGCTACTTCTTGCCTGGGGGGGGGGGATCCTTTGCAGCTGGAAAAACTACAGACCAAGAAAACACACCACTCAGAGGAATTCCAGACAGCAAACAACCAAGCGCCAGTTAACACAAGATGCTTCCAAGCACAACAATCCAGCTACCTCCGTGCAAATACCCTTACTGATTGACTTTCTAGCTACAAAGGCTACTAGATGCTTATCAAACTGGCTAATTGCAACACTCACACTGGCAGTTGCAACACTCGCAGTGGGTTAAACCCTTGTGCCGGCAGGACTGAAGACCGACAGGTTGCAGGTTCAAATCTGGGGAGAGCGTGGATGAGCTCCCTCTGTCAGCTCCAGCTTCTCATGCGGGGACATGAGAGAAGGATGGTACCACAAGGATGGTAAAACATCAGGGTGTCCCCTGGGCAACGTCCTTGCAGATGTCCAATTCTCTCACACCAGAAGCGACTTGTAGTTTCTCAAGTTGTTCCTAAAACGGAAAAAAAACAAAACAAAACAAAAAAATGGCTTCAAACAGACAAGAGTCCTTTCTCCTACCCTGGACATTCCTCTCTCTACACACGCACACACACATATATAAATGTAATGTTCATTTGTGGGATTAACATAACTCCAAAACAACTGGATTCAATTGACACCAAATTTGGACACAAGACACCTATCAGGCCAACAAGTGACCATCACTCATAAAGACACTGAAAAACACAAAGGAAGGGACTTAAAAAGCCAAAAAAGCAAAAAGACGCTACAGCGCATGCTGGCAAACGACTGCCCTGGCAAACAAAACACACAATAACATATCTATCCACACTCTTTTACAGACTACAACTCCCAGCATCCCCTGGATCAGGCCCTTTAGGAGAGGAGGATGATCCAAATGCATTGCTTCCAAGCTGCAAGCTTTCTTCTCCTTGGATTGCTTTTGGGAGCATCCCAATCCCTGCATATTTCCCATTTCCTATTCCTGGACTGCAACTCCCAGCAATCCTTCAGATAGATAGAGATAGGTAGGTAGATCGATCAGGAGGACTGCTGGGAGTTGGAGTCCAAGAATGGGAAGAAAGCGGAAGGGAAAGAAAAGGGGGGAAGGAAGGGAAGAGGAGAAGGAAGGAAGGAAGGAGAGAAAGAGGGAGGGAAGGTTGGTCACAACAATGCGTGGCGGGTACAACTAGTATATATATATATATATATATACATACTCCACATGTCTCACTAGCAACCAAACCTCTGAAGATGCCATTAGCCACAAATGCAGGCAAAAGTCAGGAGGAAATTCTACTAGAGCATGGCCACAGATATATAAACGTCACTTAGTTTCCAACAGACCCCACAACCTCTGAGGATGCCTGCCATAGATGTGGGTGAAACGTCAGGAGAGAATGCTACAGGAACATGGCCATACAGCTCGGAAAACTCACAGCAACCCAGTGATTCCGGACATGAAAGCCTTTAACAACACAAGGAAGGAAAACCACCTCTTCAGGGCTCATGAAGGAGCGAATGGGCAAACCTCTCTGCTCCCTTTGGCTTCCCTCCCGCCTGTGATCTCTCCTACATAGGTTCCCGTCCCCAGTAGCCATTGAACATCTCTCCAAACCAGTCTTGGGAAAGGCATACCATGGTGAAGGCCCAGATGGGGAAGACGCAACCCAGAGGACCCCAAAGAGGGCATTGGGTGTGCCCGCTTTCCTGGGAATCCGCTGCGTGAGCCTCCTCTTGGCTCTTCCTCGAGCGATGCTGTCACAGGTTGGCTATAGGAACGGTCTTCTGCTTGGCAGGATCAAGGAGCAACCTTCTCTTGTGGCTGTTTCCTTCCAAGCCTGCCTCTTGGCCATCCTGAAAAGCAACATCATCACCATCCCTGGTGGCACAATGGGTTAACCCAATGGTTCTCAACCTGGGGTTCCCAGATGTTTTTGAACTCCCAGAAATCCCAGCCAGTTTATCAGATGTTAGGATTTCTGGGAGTTGAAGGCCAAAAACATCTGGGGACCCCAGGTTGAGAACCACTGGGTTAAACCCTTGTGCTGGCAGGACTGATGACCGACAGGTCGGAGGTTCGAACCTGGGGAGAGCGTGGATGAGCTCCCTCTGTCAGTTCCAACTCCTCATGCGGGACATGAGAGAAGTCTCCCACAAGGGTGGTAAAACATCAAAACATCTGGGCATCACCTGGGCAACATCCTTGCAGAGCACCAATTCTCTCACACCAGAAGCGACTTGCTGTTTCTCAAGGAAAAAAAAATCACCATTCCAACAATTCGGCCTGATTTCTCTCTTTAAGTGCAATGCATTCCAGATGTTGAGCTTTGCTTGCAAGGATAGTGGAAGAGCCACTGGCTTGTTGGCATCTAGGAGGACGTGATTCCAAGTCCTAGAGAGGGTCAAGTGCACTCTCTCAGCTTTGGGAGGAGGCGATGGCCAACTCCCTTGTCAAGACAATCCTGTGACAGAGGGCCAGATTAGAAATCCCTATAGTTGAAAAGCTACTGGTCCTCACGTGTTACATCAGACATGGGCAAACCTGGGCCCTCCAGGTGTTTTGGACTCCAACTCCCACAATTCCTAACAGCCTCAGGCCCCTTCCTTTTCCCCCTCAGCCGCTTAAGAAATGGGAGAATCAAAGGCATTTTTTCCTCAAGTAATAGTCGCAACCCTCTTTTGTCAATTGAAAAAGTTGATAAAAAGTGTGACTATTATGCAATGAAATACAGTACTTCCTTGGGTCATAACTTCCAAAGCAACAATTCCTAATTCAGCTCAGTCAAACAGGGTCTCACATTGTCCAAAGAGTAATAGTCACAGCCCTCTTTTGTCAATTTAAAAAGTGGATTAAAAACTGTGACTATTATGCGATGAAATACAGTACTCCCCTGGATCATAACTCCCAAAGGAACAACTCCCAATTCAGCTCAGACAAACGGGTTTTTGCACTGTCCAAAACTTAAGTGGCTGAGGGGGAAAAGGAAAGGGCCTGAGGCTGTTAGGGATTGTGGGAGTTGGAGTCCAAAACACCTGGAAGGCCCAAGTTTGCCCATGCCTCTTATAGAACAATACAGTCTTATCCAGAGCCTTGAAAGTCACTTTTTCCAGAAATTATTGTTACAGGATTCCATAAAATGCAAGTCTCTGTGCCCTTGTCTGCGATGAATGTGTTTCTGGCAGGGCTACAACTTGCAATGCATTAATTTCAAGCTTTGGTTCTCGAGAGTATTAGTTTCATACTATGAATAGTATGGGCCTGTTGTGGATATGGTATGAGTAGGATTGTGTGTTCGTGCAGTTTTTAAGGATCAGATTAATTTTTTTAAATTATATTAATATTTTGATTAATGCATTTGCTTACTTTTAATGCAGTGTTTGTTGTTAGCTGCCTTGAGTTCCTATATTGGCAGAAAAATGAGATACA